GATATACTGCGCCCCCGCCTAGAGGCCACGTCGCCCTTAACATTTTCTCAGCGTCGCTGCGCCCGTTCAAGACATCCTCAACATTATCTAAGGAAGCTCACTCAGTGAACGGAAGGTCCTCGCTGTGCGACAGGTTCTCCAAGTACTCTTCAAGTAAGTCAGGGAATACATGTTTCCACGGCCAAGTCTGCAATTCCCAACGGCACAGCCGAATCCAAAACACATCCTTCTCATTCCCACACTTCACAAACAAAGACGGGCCGTCAACTATCGCATCGCTGGATATAGAGATCACATCAACATGTTGATACGCAGTGTCAGAGCAAGGGAACTTTTGTGGGCTAGCCGTTTCCGTCGAGCTCGGCAGTTGGGGGGGTGGCGACACCGGCGATCCGCGTCGGAGCCGGGCAGCTTTCGAGTCATGGTCGACTCCGTCGGCGGGACTGGCAAGCGGGCGCTTCATGGTTGAAAACCGGACCCAAGTGGCTACTGAGAGGGGGGAGAGAGGAGGGGTGACGAGGGGGAGGGGGGGGGGGGGACATTTCAAGTAGGAAAACCATGAACAGGGTAGGGGGGTGCCTTATGGGGCTCCAACTGGGCTGCTCCAGGCGACGTCTGCTCGAACCCCGACCGCCCCGACCCCGCGCTGGATCCCCGCCCCCCCCCGCCGCCCCGCCGCCCCCCCGAGAGGTCAAGTCTTAACCAGCGCCGAATGACTTCAGACAGACCAGGCGGTCTTTAATCTTTCAATCCTGCTTAAGCACCAGGCAGTCGGGCGCGCGGCGAAACTCGAACTCCCCAGGGCACGCGATAAACCAGATGTCGCAAGAACGGGCCGTCGGTAGCCCTCCGAGCCTTTTCCAAAAATACACCGCTGCCGTTTGGACGTCGAAGCCTTGGCTCCTCAGCTGAGGAACCGCAGACGTCGAGGCCGCGTTGGAGTCGCCCATCAACGCATTAATGTTCTACGTCGACAACTTCGAAGCCAAATCTGGCCAGAATCTGTCGTGCGCGGCGGGGGTGGCACCCCCCTTCCGCCTATTGGCAGGGCATCCGTGGAGGTGCGCAAAGGCGACGCGCAAAACATCCCCGAGGCGCGCAAGGGCAGGGTCAAATGCGACCGCGACTCCAAAAACGCAGCTGCGCGCACACTTCGCGTCGCCCGCTGTCATCTCGCACGTTCCGTCGGCGCGGCGCTCCCAGGACAGCAGCGATAGTTCGTTAACTCCCCCCTTCCGAAACCCAAGACACAGGCTGCTGCGTTCAGCGCCCCTGATCGTCATGAATTCGAACGATGGCCGGCCCATGAACGATTGACAATCGCCATCGGCGTTAGCCCCCGCGACTGCGGGGGCATCGACGCCGGCGCACGTGTTAGGCTGCTGCAGAACAAAGCACTTTGCTAGCACCACCACTAGGCACGGCCCGTGCAAACACTGAAAAACCAAACGCCCGCGCGTTCCGCGTGTTTTTCTCTGCAGAAGGGCATTCGCCCCAGTAACCGACCATCAAACGCGCGTTGCCCACTTTCGGGCCCCTCTGGCGCGGCTGGGGATTGTCCGTTTCAACCTCCGTGGGATGCGTCGTGTCCAAGACAGTGCGACGGTCGCGCACCGCCACGGCGCGTGGCATTGCATCCTCGGGGGCGCCCCCGCGACTGCGGGAGTCTTCGCCCTCGCGCTCGGCGTCGCTGCCTTCCCGCGCGACGTCGCCGGTCTCGGTGTGGGTGCTCGACGTGTTCGACGACTCGCCGTCGTCAGCGGGGCGGTCGCCGTCGCTCCCAGCTACTGCGGGGCACAAAGACGATGATTGCGCCATGGACGCGGGCTTGCTCCGCCCCGCGGCTGGCGGCGGCAACGGTCCGCCGACGCTGGCATGGCGCGGGCAGAAGCTCCCCTCGAAAACCACCGTGCGATGCTTGATGCGCCGCGCTGCGGCGCCCGCGGCGGGCGGCCGGGGCCCCGCTCCGAGCCGACGCGGCTGAAACTGGATCGAGGAGCACGGCGCGGACAAGATTGGGGCCGAAGGCGGCGATCAGAAATCAGCTCGCAGATCAGAAACCTTGATCTTTATGTCTTTCAAGTCAGCCTTCTTCACTTGGGGCCCCGCGCCCGCCCATTGCCCGCCCCCGCCGCCAGACGCATTCAGGCGAGAATTTCGAAGCGAACCCAGCCGCGGTGACAGATGAATCCCACCAGCCCTCTGGGACCCCCCCTCGCCTCCCTGGTTCCTTTTTTGGGGGGTCGCGGAATGTCAAAGGGCCCGCGATCGGCCCCTGGGGGTGGGGCAAATTTTTGACGCCCCCCGCGAGGGCCGCGACCTCCGACGGGGGGGGCCAACCAAGAGGCCTCCAAGAAGCGCCCGAGAGGCGCCGGGGAGGCCGCTGGCGGCCTCAGAGAGCCCAAGATGACATCCAAGATGGCTTGAGGAGCTGGTTCAACATGCCTCCCGAGACGCCCCGGTAGCCCCCAAGACCGCTCCAAGACTGCTCGAGATGGCCACGGAGCCTCCCCAGGAGGCCGCCAATAAGCTAAACTCCTTCGAATATGCGCGTTTCTTCCTCTCCCCCCCGTCAGCTCTCACGGGCATCGCTGGCTGGGGGGGCGCGCGAAGCGCCAGGCATTCAGGGGGGGCCCGCCTGGCCTGCCAATTCTTCGCGATGACCACCGCGGCGACGGCATGCGTCGTCGCGGGCTTCGAGAAGAACAACTCGTCGTTCACCTCTCGAGCGACTGACGCAATATACATGCATGCTGGAGCTTACGTTAATAATCATAAGTGTATACATATATACATGTAAAAGGCACATATGTATAAATGAATACATACATACATATATATATATATATATGTATAACCTATGCGCACATGCATGCATACATCCATTTGTGTATTGAATGTGCTGTCTCCCTCTCTGTCTCGTTTCTTTTTCTCTTTGTATCTCCCTCTCTCTATCCTCTCTCTCCTCTCTATTCTCTCTCTCTCGATCTTTGGGCAGCGCTCGCCCTGATATGCGCCCGGTCGCCTCGCGCTCCTCATTTTTGGGGGGGGTCTGGGGCCCGTGCTACCGAGCGCATGCGTCGGCGGCGCAGAGCGCGCGCGTGCGGGAGCGCGCGTTGGGCGGGGGCAGTATAACAGTTATGATATTATATATATATATATATATATATATATATATATTGCGTATATATCATGTGTATGCAATGCATATGTTACGTACGAATAAGCTTAGTATTAGCATATGCATATATATATATATATATATATATACCCTGCCCCACCTTTTTGCGTGCGGACACGCCAATGGTCAGAGTAGGCTAGACCCCCCTCAAACCCCCCAGCTACTGTACGCATCGGGATGCAAGGGTACCCTACGCCACGCATTTCCTAGGCGGCAAGCACGCGGCGCCTACCGCACCGCGCGCTTGCCACCTAAGGCGTGCGAGGTGGTGCTCCACCGTTCGCATACAGCAATCTGGGGAGGGGGCCTACGCTATCTTCTGGGCTACGGCACCAGCAGAAAGCGTGCCTCAACACGGAAGGGGTGGACCGCGGGTGGGAGCCCAAACAGGCTACGGACGTGTTGGGGCGGCGTGTCCTGGCCAAAGGGGGGAAGACGGGTATACGCATACAGGGAACCAGTATACAGACATACCCTGCCCCACCTTTTTGCGTGCGGACACGCCAATGGTCAGAGTAGGCTAGACCCCCCTCAAACCCCCCAGCTACTGTACGCACCGGGATGCAAGGGTACCCTACGCCACGCATTCCTAGGCGGCAAGCACGCGGCGCCTACCGCACCGCGCGCTTGCCACCTAAGGCGTGCGAGGTGGTCCTCCACCGTTCGCATACAGCAATCTGGGGAGGGGGCCTACGCTATCTTCTGGGCTACGGCACCAGCAGAAAGCGTGCCTCAACACGGAAGGGGTGGACCGCGGGTGGGAGCCCAAACAGGCTACGGACGTGTTGGGGCGGCGTGTCCTGGCCAAAGGGGGGAAGACGGGTATACGCATACAGGGAACCAGTATACAGACATACCCTGCCCCACCTTTTTGCGTGCGGACACGCCAATGGTCAGAGTAGGCTAGACCCCCCTCAAACCCCCCAGCTACTGTACGCACCGGGATGCAAGGGTACCCTACGCCACGCATTACCTAGGCGGCAAGCACGCGGCGCCTACCGCACCGCGCGCTTGCCACCTAAGGCGTGCGAGGTGGTCCTCCACCGTTCGCATACAGCAATCTGGGGAGGGGGCCTACGCTATCTAACTCCCCCACCTACTGGCCTTAAGGCTACGTAGGCCGTCCGTGTTTAACTCCCCCCCCCCCCTGAAAATGGCATATTTATGCCGGTCCTTAACTCGGGGGTGTGCTGGGGGGCAAACCACAGGACTGCCTGGGAGGTCTGGACACGCCACCCGCGCCAGGCCACAGGCCTGACGCGGGGCAGGCACCGCACAGGGCGGCCCTAGGCGTGCCAGACCCCCCCCCAGCAGCCCCTTGGTTTGGCCCCCCAGCACACTCCCCCACTCCACGCCCTTCTCCAGCCCTTGCCCTCCACACGGCACGGCAGCCTTTTCTGGGGTCCAAGGACCGTGAGGACGGTACCCAGGAGGGGGACAACAGTCTGCAGCCGCCAGAGCGGCGCGGCAACGCCCAAAGGGCAGGCCGCGCAGAGTGTTATCCCCCCCCTGGGTCCCCCTCTCACGGCCGCTGGGCCCCGAAAGGGCTGGCACGTTCGAGGAGGAGGCGACGGGGGGAGGCGACGGGAGGAGGTGACACGAAGCGCGAAGGAGGTGAGACGGGCGTGGACCCCAAACAGAGAACGCCCCACACAACGGGCGGGCCCAGGGGGCCCAGGAAACCAGGACCAGCGAGAGAGAGAGAGAGAGAAAGAGAGAGAGCCAGGCGGCCCCACGGCGGGAGGGCGGTTGCCTTCGCCGCAGCGAAGACAAACGCCCGAATTTTTGGCAAGCACTGTAGGGCGCAAGCGGTGGCCTTTTACAGTGGCCAGCTGCAGGAGCCGCAGTCCTCGCGCAACGGCGCGGGCTGCCCTGCTCCCGGGCTGGCGGGCACTGAGCTAGCCACCGCGCCCTCGATGCACAGGCGTGCGGTGGAGAGCCGCGCACCTGCGCCAAGGCCGCGGCCTGCCATCCGCAGGAGCACCACGGCCATCCTGCCGCGGACGATGACTGCCTCCGCGCAGTCCGCGGTCTTGGACGAGCTGATGCGGACCACGAACAGCTCGTCGACGATGTCGCGGTCGACGATGTCGCTCACCGTCAGGGCGGCCGCGTCGAGAGCGCCTGCAGCGCAAGCGATCCCCGCCATGGCCGCGACGGCCTGGGTCGTGAGCAGCAGCACCCTGGGCGCTGGCCCATGCTGCCTCCATGCCCTGAGGAGAGTCCCGCTCAGGCCAGGGTGTCGCCTCAGGCGAGGCGTTGCGAAGCACACCTCTGCCAGCGTGTTGCTGGCGGCCGCGCTGCCCGCACCAGAGGCCCACAGGTCCTCGAGGTACTCCGCGACGAGGGCGTCGGCGTCCTCGGGGTCCCCGCGCAAAGCGTCCGCCCCCGCCTGCTCAGCTCCGAAGTGGGCCAGCAGGGCCCGCGGGGCCCGCCCGTAGCGCCGCCGCGTCTCCGCCGACACTGTCAGGGAAGAGAGAGTCTGGCAGCGCGTCCCGCGGCGCCTTGCGGGCACGGGCCTGCGGTGAACGGCCGCGCGCGCGGCACGGGTCGCCCTCGCCTCCTGGGCTCCGAGCCACGCGGGGATGTCCTCCGAGACCACGTAGCCGATCAGTGGGTACATGTCGGCCGCCACGACGACGGCCATCCGGCGCATCAGGATGGGCTGGAGCTTCCTGCTGCTGCCGCGGCCCCTCGTCACGATGGCCGCGACCACCCGGCTGTCGACGAGGTGCAAGAACCTGCTCCCGTGCTGCACGACCTTGCGGGCGCGCCACCTGATCGCCGACGTGGCCGCCTGCAGCTCTCTCACGCTTATGTGGGTGGAGTTCCGCCCGGACCACGCCATGCTGACCGCCACGCGCCACTTCCACACAAACGGGTCCAGGTTCGTCCTCGGCCAACCTCGCGGGCGGTAGGGGACGCCGTAGTCCAGCCTGACGTCCGACCCGCCCTTCTCCGTGCGGCTGAGGTAGTGCAGGACCAGCTGCCTCGCCTCCGCGGTGTCCGGCTCCCCTGGCCCCGTGACGAAGGCCCCCGCCTGGTCCCACGTCACCTGGCACTCGCGGACGGGGGACACCTCTTCTATCGACAACTCCCTGTCCAGCGCGCCGCGGCGGTGCAGGAGTTGCTGGCACAACCATGCCACGTCGTGAATACTGAAGCTGTTGCCGATGAGGAAGGCCCTGGCGTCGAAGGCGTCCTGAGGGTTCGAGCCCTGGGTGGCTAGGGAGGTGCACCCCGGTCTCCCCGGCCAAGAGCCGCCCTCGTCCTCCCACGCGAAGTCCATAAGCGGGACGCCAGGGCCCACCAGCTCGTCGTAGACCCCGCGGTCGGTCAGCCGAAGAGGCGCCGATGAGGTGACGCCCCAGCTCGTCCAGAACAGGCGCGGCCTGCGGCACGGCACGAACACCGACGAGCACGCCAGCGTCGGTCTCACCTGCAGCGCCTCCGAGATCAGCTCCACATTGACGCTGGACATGCTGGCCATGTTCTCCACGACCCAAACGAGCTTGTCCCTGAAGACGGCGGCGAGGAGAGCCAGGATACGCGGCACCTCGTGGGACAGCAAGGACTCCCTACCGCTGAGGCCGCGCCCGCCGACGTCGAGGCGCGACAGGCGATGGCAGGGGCTGCCCGCAGCGACCGCCACGGGCTCAACGAGGCCGCCGAACCCCTCGAACAGGTCCCGCACCGTCTCGCTGCCCACGCGGGTGACGTCGCCCCAGCCGATGACACCTGGCCAGCGGAGCCTGACAACGCGCCTCGCCTTGGCGTCCGTCTCGGCCGCGACGCAGGCCGCGATGCGGAAGGGCAGCCTCGAGAAGGCGACGGCGAGGCCTCCGATGCCGTCGAACAGGCAGATGAGCAGCACCGACAACACCCTGCGGACTGCCCTGGCGGGGACGCGTGGGTTGGCTGCCGCCCACGGTCGGGCGGGATCCTCGGCCATGACGAGGAGCCTGGCCCCTATCCCCAGCTGGTCGGGGACCGTCCTCGGCACCTGCAAGGCGGCGGCGACATCCTCGCGCAGGCCGGCCGACGTGCACACGCCGCCGCCCATCTCCAGCGCGTCCGAGGACGTGACCACGCCGTCGATGCGCGCCCGCAGCGAGGAGGCGGCCAGCGGCAGGACCATCACGCCCATGAGAAGATCCTCCACCATCTCCGCGTCCAGGTAAGCCTCCTGCGCCGAGGACGCAGCCAGCGCCCAGACGGAGTGCGGGACCCCGAGGAGCGGCCGCCTGAACTCGAGGACCCTCGCGAGCATGCCGAGGGCCGCCATGGCAACGCGCCACGGGACCAGGCGCCGCGGCACCGCGGCCAAGCAAAGGCCCGCAGTGGCCAGCGCCTTGGAGGCGGGGACCGCGAGGCGCCCGCCGACGCCGTCGACGTCCGCGCCCATGCGCTTGACCTTCAGCTGCCTGCAGCGCGCCTTCTCGGCCGAGAAGGAGGCGCTCGCCCTCTCGCAGCTGGCGCGGACCTGCAGCTGGAGGTCGCTCGGGGCCCCCACGAGCTTGCAGGCCAAAACCTCCTCGACGATCTCCGGCGCATCGAAGTCGTCGATGTAGCCCTGCCACCAGCCAGCGTCCTGGCCGCTGCCAGCCTCGACCAGGGGCCGCGCCCAATCCCTGCGCCACTCCCCGTCTAGGGGAAGCCCCGCCCCGAGGAGCGGCGCCAGGCGGCACAGCCGTCGGCGAATGTGCTGGAGGACGGGCACCGCAAGCGACCAGCCCATGGCGATGACAGCCGAGGTCACGTAGACGACGGGCTCCGAGCGGCCAAACAGCTCGCCCGCGAGCGGCCGCCCCACGGCCATGTAGGGGTGCCACGCGGGCGAGACCCGCCACACGAAGAAGGCCCCCTTCTGGTCGTCGCCCGACCACAGCAGCAGCTTCCCGTCGGGGACCACGACCGCCGTCCAGGACGCCGAGGCCGCGAGCAGCGCCGCCTCGCCCACGTGGGCCTTCAGGAGCGAGCTGCCTGGCACCATGTCGGGGATGAGCCTGGTGACCCGCGTGGCGTCAGGCGCTGGGGTGCCCTTCTTCTCCACCGCGAACAGGCCGATCAGCACGGGCTCGCCCCTCACGCGGACCAGCTCGCTCTCCGCGAGCGTGGTGAAGATGCTGAGCGACACGAGGTGCAGCACCAGCTCCTCCCAGTCCGCCTCCGTCTCCACGTTCACGCGGGCCCGCGGCGACGGGTCGGGCCAGTCGGACTGGTCGAGGAGCGCCAGCTCGGGGCGGCGCAGCCAGGCGTCGACCTCGGCGCCAACGAAGTCGGTAGCGTCGAGCGTGTCGGCGCACTCCCGCGTGGGCAGGCCAGGGGCCAGCTCGCAGAGCCGGCAGGGGAGGGCCTTCACGCCTGTCTCGCCCTCGCACGCTGACTCGCAGCCGCCCGCCAGCTCGTCGATCGCAGGGACCACGACCATAGCGAGCGGGTCCTCCGCCAAGGCCGCCGCTCGGCTCTTCAAATGCACGTAGACCCGCGCCTGCGCCTTCGACAGGGTCAGCCTGTGGCGCCAGCTTCCCTGCGAGCGGCCGCAGAACGCATAGTTGAGCGCCGCCACGCTGAGGTGCAGCCACGCCTGCTCGCTGACCTCCCGCGCCACGGCGCGGCGGCGGCACCTGCGTGCCCTGGGTAAAGGCACTGTGGGCCAGCCAGCGGCCCACCTCCTCGGTCGACGGAAGGGGAAGCGGCAGGGCGTCCCGAACCCTCCTGTTCGACGACCCTCCGCTCCCACAAAGTGTGTCCGCACGCATGCTGAACGACCGAGCGAAGTGGCCAAGGCTGCCTGGGTGGCGTCGTACTGCTGCTGCCAGCTGCGCCGCCAGGTCGACCGCGACGAGGCTCTTGCCGAAGCCGAGGGAGAGCTCGTCGGCCCAGCACTGCAGCGCGGTGGCCAGCGGGGGCCCCGCGACGCCCTCACCCCCCTCGCATAGGGTGGCACGATCTCCGCTCTCGGTAAACCGAGTTCGGCTTCCGCCGCGGACTCCCCCACCAGCACCCCTCGCAGGGCTCGCGCCTTTGATGGAGGCATCGGCCACCCTCCCTGAGGAGGCTCCACCATAGCGCGGGGCAGGCGGCAGGCTGCCGCCGCTCAGGTCCGACGGGGGCGCGCCGCCGCGCGAGCTTTGAAGGCTCGCAGGCGGTGCAGGGTGTT